TACATTCTACATATTTTTAACTTAAGATCACAAGATTTAAAAGTTCTCTTGACTTTCTTAAACTCCATGTCAAAGTCAAATCAGACAAACAGATTGAAAAGGAGGGAGTACTTTTTTTGGTGGGGTGGGGATAGATCTTGATTTTATTTCTGCCTCTTACTTCTTAATAGCTTCTATTTGCATCTCTAATAAGAAATGCTGATACACGCAAGTAATTCCTTTTACTTTTTCAATCTTGTTATTTTAGCGTCAGGAGCAGACTAGTAGAGAGCTCAATTTTGATGCCAAAGGAAGTAGTAAACATATTGCTGAATTTTCTGAGAAGTTTGTGCATTGGGTTAACAACGGAGATATGCTTTTCCCTTGAGATCATTTCTGGTCTCCTTGAAGCTGTACTCTTCAGACAATTGCATTCAATCAAACCATCCGAAGGATGTGGATGACTTACGGAATAAATGACAGGTGATGAAGATTAGGTAAGAGGGGAACAATGATTTTTGTTAGAGAAAATATGCCTAAACAAAGCCATTGAGATTGTAAATTAAAGTACGCTAGAAAATGATATAGAAAGTATAGAGTACATAGAAGCAGATGATTCTTTCAGTCGTTTTTTTGTTTCTTCATTTTCTACCTTACTGTTTTTGTAGGTTTCAGTTCTGTAAATATCTGTTATAGTTTTGTTAGTTGGAGCTCCATTATTCTTTTCTGTATACAAGCTTATTCTTGAGTGTAGCTGAGAAGAAACTTAGATATTCCTATATACTATGAGGCTGCAATTTTTGTTGCCATGTCAACAGAAGCATATCGCTTTCCTTGTAGTCATCGTGTCTTTGATGGCAGAAATTGTAGTGCACCTTGTGTTATATCACGAGGAACATCTACAATTGCCTTGCAATTTGCTAGAAGGCTGGACTATAGCAAATTTGTTATGCTAAGGCCAAAAAATCAGTAAAATTTGTACAGTCAGGACTCAGTTTGTGATCAATGGCTCAGCAGATTCATAAATCTACCAGATTGTTCCCCTAACCCAAGGTACCTGAATAATGCTACATTATCTGTTCAATTCTGCTCTGTTTTTTCAGCTTATTGCTTTCGTTGGATCAGTTCTTAACACATAACGGCCTGAGGAAGTGTCCGAAGGTGAAGTAGTTCCTTAGTTTTTTTTTCTTCTGGTTTGTTGTTACAGTTAGTTCCTTTCCTTGTGCCATTATGTGTGTGCGCTAGAAGTAGAATATTTTTTGTATCTTCTACTCTCCAGCTCATAAGTCTGCTTAATAAGTCGCAGGCAAGGTGATTTGAATTGAGACCTCTGAGCGTGATGTTAGGCTGATTCACATGCCCATTAGCTAGTAATTTCGATGCTCTGCTTCCGTTAGTTTCAAAATTATGTCAATTTTCTAGGATGTGAAGGTCTGAGACGTGTTCTCGAGGCGAGGCGAAATAGTGAGTTGTATGAGAGGCTAGAGTCAGTCTAAGCTCCCTATGCATAGTTCATGTTGAAGTGTATACTCCGTGAGGGGTATAAAGGTAAATTCTAAAGTAAACTTGTCATTCATTGGATAAAGAGGATTTCTCGATTCATTATTGACTTTACTCTAATACATAAATCAATCTGTGCGTTCTTATTGAGAATACTTATATTTAGTACCTAGAAAACTCGATCCTTGGTGCTTTTTGCACGCTTTTCGGAGTCTCATGTGATTAGTGATTTTTACTTCACTTTCAAGACATCTTGAAAATTGAAACATGTCTCTATGTGTGATGTATGGAGGGTGTATAGCAACGTTTTAGTCCAAAAGTAACAATTCCCTTGTAATAGTTGTATACGTACACGTCTCTATAAGTATGGAGGGTGTATAGCAAGTCTTTGTCCAAAAGCAACAATTCCTTGTAATAGTTGTATACAAATAAAACACGCATCAAGTGTCCACTACCAACTATTGTCTTCAATAATACTGTACTATCAGTCAACCATCGCTACTGACTATCTAACACAATCACCAATAAACACCCATAACAGTTACTTGTAACGGCAAAAAATGTAAATTCATTAATTCTCAATAGATACCTATAAGCAAATTGAGTCCTAGAGGACACGCCTATTATGCGTTAGCTATTTCAAAATTTGATAATTCGACGAGTAAATAAAACTATTTTACTATTGGTAATAGGTCACATTTCGTTTTTAAACAACCAAAGTACATTATCAAGCAATCGACACACGACAGCCAAGTATATATTGAATCAGGGCGTCGTTATATTTCACCCAAGATATAGTGACTGCTTGTTCCATTCTGGAGAAAAGGACCAAAATTGTCCCTTATCTTTGCCTTAAAACTCAAAATGATCCTTACCTTTTCATATGGAGCACTAATGATCCTTCTTCTTTGTAAAAATGGTACAGCTTTAGTCTTTAAAGTATTTTCCGTCTATCACTAACGGAAGTTGGTCATATGCACGTGATTGCATTAAATTGATATGACCACTCGCTGACAATGAGACTGCTCATTGAATTAAACACAATCAAAATTAATAACTCAAAGTGACAATATATGAATATTGACTTATTGATAATGGTTTATTAAATTTATGATTTCGTAAAAATAATAGCTTTTGAAATGAATAATGAAAGGGTAGAGTGTGCACACATCTTACATCTACCTTCTCAAATAAAAAAATTATTTTTGAAAGATTTTTTTCTTGTCTTACCTCTACCCCTCAGATAAAAATATTATTTTTGAAAGATCAATTTCTTATCTTACCTCTACCTTCTCAGATAATAATATTAATTTTGAAAGATCCA